CATGGATGCCGTTACCACCTCGCTCACCGCGTGTTTGTGGAGACCTCGCCTGGCTTGCAGCATCAGCGACCCCGCCGTGGAGCTGCAGCTCTCGGCCGCAGCCGCAGCCAGACCCAGTGCCAAGGTCAACCCAGCGAAGCAGGATGCCATGGCTAGCAAGAGAGGCTGTGCGATTGAAGCTGCAGCAGCTAGGAATTTCGACAAATTGCTTGAGCCGTCGCCGTGTCAGTTTGTTGCGTAGTTTTCGATTCCTGCGGCATGCGCGAACAAGTCTTGTCCGACGATCCTGAGCCCACTGCTCTGCCGACTGCCCTGTCGTCACGGCAAGCTCGGTTGAGACCGATGCAGATGTCTCGCGGGCAATTCAAGGCACACGCGTGGACAAACGTCATGGAATGCACTTCGTGTCACTACAAAGAAGACCGGCCGACACCATCGGCTGAAGTTTCTCTCAGAAGCGACGATACAAGTGTCGCCTTAGGCAGCATGCAAGAGATCTGCACGTTGCCGCCGTAGTTCGACTCCGGGATGTCGGCTCGGACCTTCGCACAAAGCTTTGACAGAACGATTGCCCTGCGCATTGCTACAAGAAGCCATATCTGCGCTTTCCAACGCCTTGATGGTGATCTCGAGCTTGTGTGGTGTCTGTTGTTCTGCGAAAGGAAATATCCTGCAGAAGATGATCAGGCGCTCGAATACTTTCGCAGAGAGGCTGGCGACTTAGAAAAAATGCTCCATGTCGCATGGACTTCGGGCTCCAGTCAAAAGCTCCTGAAGGGCACGCGGAAATCGCCAGTGATGCGGTAGTTCATGACCTCTGCCAGCAACTGCTGTGGTGCAACTGAGGGACGGAGAGATAGAGTTAGAGGAAACCTGGGGCACAGCTGCAAATTCGCCGTCCGGAGGGTAGAATGAAAGTGTTCGAAGATCCGAGAAGTCCTGACTTCAGGATCAACGCCGGACAGGGAGAGAATTTCTTGAGACATCTACATGCGGAAGGAATGCCGAAGCAGTCCTGCAAGTCCACGCACTCGTGGAAGTTGCAGTCATCCAGGATCACAGAACCATATCCTGGCCCCAGGCAGAAGGCGATCAAGCGAACACGGCTTGGCATGCCACGGCAGAAATTTAAATGCAGATGCTGGAGTCATCATACCTTTATTTTGCATCTGAAGACCACCAGTTCACAAACCGAACTGAACCTCCGTGGCTGCCACCCAGATCCATGTTCTTGACCACGATGTCCTTCTGCTTGCGACACGCGAGCGAACAAGCAAACACCACCTGGGCAGCCTCGTTTAGGGCCAGCTTGAGCTCTGGATTGCCCATCAGATACGACCTGGAGGCGCTTTCACCAAAGCTGTGCGGTGTTGACTCGGAAACTGAGCCGAGGGCTTCATCTGGATGCTGCCGTCAATAGCACTATTGATGACAAAACCGTTCGAGCTCATCAGAACCTCCACAACGGCTGCGAGCATCAACTGGGGTAACTGGGGTCGAAATGCTGCATTTATCCCACTTAGTGCCCCTTCCATGATGGTGGTGCGCACCGAGATTCTCTCCAAAATGTCTACAAAGATCTCATTCTTCTTGTTCTTGGCATCATGCGTCGGACCGACCTGAAGACCGCGAAGGCGAAGGCATGCGAAGGCCCATGGATCGCTGCCCTTTCAGGCTCGCACTGGCCGGTGGACAGCGTTGCTGGGCACTGTCCGCGGATTCCACTGGGGCAGATTGAGGCCAAGCCTGAGAGCTAAGATTTGACATACTGCTGTCACAGATTAGACAGATCAAGGGTGTGTGGTGCTCTTTGGGCTACACCGGCTCTCTAAAGCCCAATAATGCGGCTGCAAGAATCCAGGATTTCCGACGACCGGATAAGGCCTTCCATGGCCAAGCTTTCTGTTCTTGCTTCATGCAGATGATGGTTAGGCACCTGGCTTACATGTGATCTGGACCGCAAAGCTTGAACAAGAGCATCAAGTGCCCGAATCCCGTTAGCAAGAGACTGAAGTTGGAATCGCGAGAAAGCCTGGTTCTGCAGCAGGAACAATCGCGAAAACAATTTTAGTTGCGTTCATAACGCTGCAACGGCCGAGGGCTCTGCTTTGGCGCCTCTATGACAACTGCCTCGTTGTGGATGCAAGACCTGTCAAGCCGGAACAGCGAGAGTTTAAGTTGTCCCCGGTCTCCCATGGTCAGTAGGATGTTTGGTGTGATCGCCGTGAGCTGCGCTGGCTAAACCCATGTTGCGTTGCTGTGCCTTCCTTACTTGATGATTTTTGCTGTCCTGCTCCCCTGCCCATGGGGAATCAAGCGTGATCCAACTCCAAAATGGCACACAATCGGCCGGAAATGCTTCAGGTGCTCAGTGTTCGTCGTCTGCGGATAGCCTGGGCAAGCAGGACGCACCAGCACCGAACCGCACCTGCACTCGCTGAGTTCCCGGTCACTTCAACATCGAAATTGCCAGTGTCGTCAGTGCTGCTGTTGGCTGCAGACTGCACTACAGACGTCCTCAGGTGCCGACCGAAATCCACCATTTCATCGAGAAGCTCATACACGAGCACAAAGTTTTTCCTGTACTTCGGGCTGGCAAGGGCTTTCACAGCTTTGTCCCCAACTTCCTCACGACATCTCCTGGGCGTTTACAGCTGTGCAGACTCGCCCGTCCTTATGCTCTCTTCGTTGAGCATCCCGCAGAAGTCTTTAAAGACCTGGCACTCGAGTCCCTGGTGCAGCCGATCGCTTTCCACCAGGCTGCAAGGGCCTTCGCCATCTTCGTGAGGAGCTCCACCACGGCGGCCGGGGAGATGTTATGACATGTAGTTGCCACGAAGTACCTGAACAAATTCGAAGGCACGCCTCGTAGCCTAGCCCAACTCCCCCCCAACTAAACACGATGCAACAATGGGATGCAATCCATTCTTCTTGATGAAGACATAGGTGACCTTGTGCCATGATGTCTAATCCCTAGTCGTTTGACATCTGGACTGCTCTGAGCAGGAGGCCCCATCCAAGTTGAAGATTGGGGGAGCGTCGCCGTGCCAGAATTTTACCTGCTCAAGCCGGACCCTCTTCTGCTCCCCAGAATCTTCCAGGAGGGAGAGCCTTTCTAAAGAAAATCTCCGCAGTGCCCTTCACGACATCACCGCGAAAGTCTCGCGTGATGATGGTGTCGCCGCGCAGGGACAGAATATAAAACCTTCGCCGTGCAACGGTAAACTAGTTTTGAGCTTTGCCTCCAAGTCGGCCTCATATGACACTAGCTCTACTTGGGTCCCAGAAAGTACTGTCACTGCCCTCTCTCTTGTGGCTTTGGCAGGCACTGTAGCACAGCACCGGAGCTGAGGTGTCGGCTGCGAGATCATCCGGAGCACGTCGCGCAAACGCACGAGGTGACTTTGCCGGGGAAGCTCTAACAACAAAACCTCTTTGTCCATTTCATCTACTTTCGTAAGCATGTTTGCACAGTTGCAGAAGTTAGCCGAAGGGCAGCCAAGCTGGGCCCCGAAGTTCCTGCTTCAGATTGCCGGTGACTTCATGTTTTGACAGGACCCAATGTCCATGGTGCCAGCTGGAACGGTGGAGCAGGGTGAGTGATGGGGTTCATGTCAGCCCACAAACTCACAAGGTACGAGCCAAAACGGGTTCCCGACATGATGCAACGAGATTGCTGCAAGTCATCCACTGCACTGCCAGCTCACAACACCACGCAGGCATTGTTTTGCACATGGGTAAGTGTCGCCCTCTCAGCATCACCCCCCAGGCAGTTGCTGGCAGCAGCCACATCGGCACCTGTGGCGAGTTTGTGACTGCGGTGTCAAGCACCACAATGGCCGATTTGGAAAGAGATTACAACAACGTCAGCTAAGTCTCGCTCTGAGGTTAGTCCGCAGGAGTCCGCAGCCTGCACGTTGGAAATGTTGCGCGATAGCTGGAGCCACGTGTACGAGTGTGCTTACACCCCAGTGGCATGGGAAGCAATTCGACACTTTGCAGGATGCTCCTTTCTGACAGCCTGTTCAGGAAGGTGGCCTCGTGCAAGCGGAACTCTGTCAGTAGATAAAGGGCAACAGCGCTTTCCGGTCCTGCAACTTTTAGCTGTGCTGGCTTCGAGACTTTCTTGTTACTGCCTGTTGTGATCGCTTATCAATAGTAGGGTCCATCGTCGCACGCGTGGATACTCTCAACACTCACCTTCTCAGTAGGCCACTTGGGATCAGCTCTGGCGGAACACGCTTGATGTTCAGCTGCATTGACCGCATGCAACTCCGTCCTTGGGGTACTGATCCTTGAACTTTTGCAAGTACCTATTTTGACGCAAAGCATGTCATGGATCAGATGCAGAAGAAAAGCAGCTGACCGTGAACTTACGAAAAGATTATCCTCCGGAGAGGTTCGCACAACAACAGCCACGATTCACTTGATGGGCTCTTTAGCCCCGTCATGGAGACCAGATCGACTGTTTGGTCATTGTTTCTGTGAGTGTATGAGCTTCCTCGTGGCCCGCGAGGTCTCGGGCATGTCTTGGCCTGACGACATCGCAAGATCCACAGCGCGCACCAGTGGTGATGAGCAATGGCCTCGGGTTTGTTGGAAGGGCTTAGGACCGCCAGGATTCGGGTGTTATGTGTTCGATAAAATCGATGCAGCCAGAGAGCTCTTGGTCCGATATTGGCAGCCTGCAGTCATGCCACGGTAATAGGTCACGACAGAGAATGGTTGTGCGTGCATGTCGCTGTTGTCTCGCTGGAGCAATTGCCCCGGTGCCTTCCGATACGTTTCCTGTTGTTGTTTTGGTTGTTGTTGTTGCTGCTGCTCTGTGCTCTGCGTGGGCAGGCTGGAAGCTTTGCAGCAGCTCGCAGGGCTTTTGGCAGCTATACGACAGCCTAGCTTGTGGCGCGCTTCGCAATCTAGTGCCGACCCTGCATACAGGCTGGGAAAAGCCCCATTCTGAGTTCGGGACGGTGCACAGCGCGAAAGTCAGCCCTGGCAGGGCGAAGCCCATCGCCTCTGCGGCGCAAAGCGGCAGCACTGTGCCAGTACTCTGCCGGAACATGGACAAACGCTTGTGACAAAGAAAGTCCCAGAGCCGAACCAGGGCGTAGCCGGTCCACTCGACGATCTCCCCAAAGAAGTTGGCACCTGCACCGTGACAAGGTGTTGCAACTCAGCAAATTAGGAAGCGCGGAGTCTCTGCCACGCCCATGCCGGCCTCGCCTGAAATGTACTCAAACATTCCCCCACGAGGCACTTTGTACCTCAAATATTTTGTGCCAACCGTCCGCTTCTCACTTGATATTGTCTTGGAGCACCCCGTCTCGCCAGGCTTCCTGTGCTGCAGCCAGGCTGTCTGCAACTCCAGGCACGCAAGCGTCTCACTGTGGCCTCAGGTTTCTTAACCTGTGGTCTGCATCCAAGTTGATGCACCTGAGCTGTGCCAACGCTTGCGCCGCATCTCAAGACTCAAGCTTCTCCGAAATGTTAAGTGAGCTCCGCACAGTCCTGTGGCCCAAAGGACGATACCGGCCAAAGTCCTGCCCAAACCACTGTCTGCCGTCGTAACTAACCGCACTCGCAAGTGTGCGCCTCCATGACGTTGGTATTACCAAGAACCTGCTATCGGTTACTCTCGCAAACGTGCCGCAACTGCTAAACCCTGGCCTTGTCAGGCTTCTACACTGGATATAGCCATTCGCGGCACAGAACCTGAAAATTTGCCAACTCGGGAAGAGAATGCTAGCCTGCTAGCCCAACTAAGAAGTGGCTGGAACAAGATCCACCGACGCAGAAATCGACCCAGTCGTCAGAAAGCCACCTTTTTGCACACGATCTGTGTTCTCTTGGCTCTGTCGCGAACAAACAGTACACTCTGTGGGACAAAGACGTGAGTATTGAGGTTATTACATCATAACCCGTTTTCTCCGAACAATTCAAGCTGAGTTTTGTTTTTTGAAACTCCCTCCAACATGCAGAGGGCTCGACGAAGGTATTTCCAACGACCCGGCCAGGTCCAGAGTGTCATGGCTGTCAATGATATGTATTATACCTGCGTGAACTGAGCCCCTGACATCATGGCCATCAGCATGAGGGGCAATGGTACAGGCTTGGAGCCTTTCCTTGCTCTGTTTGCACTTCAGCATCAAGTACAACATCTCGTCTATTCGCTCCAATTCTGCTCGGCCAAGTTTCATCCGCAAAGGGTAAATGACAGAGCGATTTACCTTGGCACTTTGCAAACACCACAGTCGCCGATGACAATGCTATCTAAAACACAATTCAAGGCTCGGGCATAATGGACAACGAAGCACAGCAGCAAGGCACAATTGCCCAAATCTGAGCTCAACATGATACATGTCCCGTAGCAGACCGCAGATTTTGTGTCTGACAGGTGTGATCCATGCTCGGCACCCAACGGCCCGTGGATGCCTGGTTGGTAATGCAGCGACAGGTGATAGTGTGTTCTAAGAACAGCGCAAGCGGGCCCATTTTCACTGCTGTTGATCGACTTACTTAGACTTACTCGATATGAAGCCAGCGTCTTGATGCCATTCGCAGATTCGCTAACACGAAGTTAGTGACAAACCCGCAGGCAAGAACATCCTGGCCTCGTTTCCGGTGGCCCAGCACAGGCCAGCCGCGATCAGAGTGGGGCCTGTAGTCTGGCCCAGCAGACGCTTAAAAACACGACCACTGTTCAATGGCTGCGCGACTTTGAGGTGGTGACACTCCTGCAACACCCAGGCCTTGCCAAGCGCCAAAAGATTTGGGGCCGGTCACAACAAAGCCACTGTCGGCAAATGTTTGTGTTGAACGTCAATCATACCATCCGGTGTCGTCCAAGAGAACCCTAGCTTGATCTCGCACAGTAGCGAACGTGAATCGGCACTTCACATTATTCGATGTGATGCCAGCAAGGCTGAGGCAAGTCGATGCGACGCCACCCTGAGAACAGCTCTGTCCGCGCATTGACGTCGCAGGAAGCCAGCGCCTGTATAAGCCGGCCTGGCCGGAAGTTGAAGCGGACAAAGCCAAACAGAAACTGGGCACTACTAAAAGCGAGTTCCTGCAAACTGTGCCTTGCTGGCGAGCGCTGCCTGGGTGGAACAAAGTGGAGCCGTGGCGGCTGCATGAATACCATGTACGACGGAGCATGCAAAAGAAACCCTCAACGCTCCTGTAACTGTATGCTTCGCTGAATCTTGCTACCGTTGCCGTGTGTGTCCAACCACACTTGGCCCGGACTGCATCTGCTCGGCAGTTGGAGACTTTTGTCAGCCTAGTTGCTGTGATATCTGCCATAGGGAGCTTCCACCTGTTCAAGCCGTCATCACATGCTCGCATGCCCTGTGTGCGACCTGACTCGGCTGCCACCTCGCATCTTTTTGGCGCGTCCGCTGCTGCACAAGAAGATTTGGGAAAACAAAAGCCTGCAGCAGTTGCTTGAAGAAGGGAGTCGCTCGCCACGACGACGTGAGTCAGTCGAGGCTCTTCTAGGTAGACAGTTTTCCCGTCTCTCTGTGTTAAGGGGCAGGGGGTCAGCGACTGGAAAACTCGCGGTGAGATAAGAGCCACTTTGGCTACTTTGTCTGCACAGCAGTGCAGGTGTGCTGCAATCACAAGCTTGAAGCAACCTCATACGGTGTGGAAGACCTATCGAAGCGCTCGCACCTGAGTGCTCCTGTGTCGGCCTGCTGCATGCTCGGATTGCAATCATGCAAGATTAACGGACCGAAACTTGCCTGCCAGCGCGGGCCTGGGGCTTATTGTTGCGACACAGATAGACTAATACACCTGAGCGACATGGGCTTACTGACATGTTGTTAGCTGAACATGCTGGCCGGTCCAGTCATGAGACCACCTTTGCTTCCAAAGGTGGCGCTGTTTCTGTTGCAGGCCAAGCCTAGCATACTATCAGCAAAACGACTCGGCCACGAGGCACCAAAGTGCTCAAACGTTCTGCCGAGCCATGGTAAGCTCCCCAGGTACCAGGGAGCCAAGGCCAAAGCCTCTCAAATCGTGGAGGTGCCCTGCGCAGATGACGATGCCGGCCGCCCGAACATGCCTCAAAAACAGCTTCATGATACCTCCCAAAAGGGAAGGTCGCAAACGTGCACTGGAAACCGGGACTACTTCGGAATGATGTCGCCCACCAAGCCGCCTGTGCGCAGCCAGTCGCTTGCGACAGACCAGCGATTTCGGCTGGAGAACAGCTTGCCTTGATTCAGACGGCAACCAGAGAGTTCAGCAGCACTCGTCTAAGTCCGTGCCAGGCGCTGAAGTAGGTGGACCGCCAAATCGCAAATCCGGCGGGTCCCATGACTCTCAGTTGGTCCTGCCACGGCAAGGCTCAAAACCTTGTACCTCACGAGGAGCCAGGCTCATGAGGGTCGGTCCGTGTCACCATAGAGGGATCGCCACCACATATGGTCCGTGACAGAAGAGCGACCCAGCCTAGGAAATCAAAGCTGAGCATGCAGTGAATGCAGTGCCTAGTCTTAAAGGACCGAGGAGCTTGATGAAAGCGTTCGGGTCAATCTCTGCCGCACCCTGAGAATCGCCAATGTAGGCCATGGTGCCCTGATGACCTCACAACGACTTTCCAAGCGCGCCACAGCACGTCGCTCTGCGCAGGCTCGGATTGTTTTGTAAACAGCATCAGCTGCACGCTTCCACGGAAGAGGCCGCGACAGTACTTGAAAGGCGCCGCTTCCTCAGGTGGTTGCGGTTGTGATCGGCTATGCCTTTCTGACAGGTCTTGTGATATACGATCCTAGTCCTGATTATATGATATATAATGATATATACTTGTATTACATCACTCTAACTTATGCTGCCCTGAAGCGAAAGCTCGGGGCTAGCCAGCTTGAACAGAAACAGTGACACAGAGTGCAGGCATGCAGGCCTGGACTCAGTAAGTTACACTGTCCCAAGAGTTTCGCTGTCTCCCTGCCCGTTGATCTACACTTTACATCACATGATCTTTTAGTGTATTGTATCCCTACATTGGTGCGAGAATGGCTTGATGACTGCAGAATTAAATTGCTTGTGTGTGTCCTTTCATACGGGGCTGGAACATCGGTCCGATCTGCAAAGCCTGACTGCTAACATCCCTCCGTTCCAGTTGTTGAGCTGTGCCGCTGGGTCAGAGATGAGATGCTCCTTGCCCAAGCGGAACATGCGCCCCAAGTACTTGCCTTACAGTAACTCATCGGCAAATCATTGAAAATGTCGCGGTGTCGTGTCGGCAGTTCCGCTGCTCGCATCTGTGATGCAAACAAGAGGCCCTGCTGATATGCCACCTCCAAGCAAGGCCACATTCCAAAGCCACCGCAATTTCTTGGGGCGCGGGCGGGGGGGAGTGGGGGGTGTGGTCACAAACTGAACACTAAGACCGGCAGCCTGCGCAGTTGGTGGCTTTCCACTGACGGCGCAGTCACCAATCGCGAAGACCTGGACCAGAACTTGAGCGAATCGGCAGATGCATGTGAAAAGTTATAGATGCAGAGTCTGGAAGTCGCAGCAAACTATGCGAGCCTCACCGAGTTTCGTGCCCTTCACTCGCAAGCACTCGTCCACCAACAACCTGGAGAAGCCGCCCAACTCGGTCAATGTTTACCACATAGACTATCACTGCCGGGTTGAGGTCACATGAAACCCCAAAACACCTTGCTTTGCCCTGCACTGAAGACAAAAGCAACAACCACACAAACAAGTCGAGATCTTCAGGCATGCTGGAGGCGGGTAAAGCTGAGCAGTGTGTTTTCGTCATGGTTCCGTGAACAAAGCGGCTGGCGGTGCTGAATCTGTATGATAGCCCGGTGGCCCACGTCGATCTGTCTGTCCATTCTCCTTCCATCATGCACAAACCATGTGACGGAGTTCAGCCCTGCTTCACGTATTGCAGGCTGGAAGAAAACATCTGCAGCAGATGGCTTTGCTGACGGGAGGCCTTGCCAATCTTCTCGCAAACTGACCGGGTGAAGGGCCTGTTTTGTTGAACAGCTTTTTGCCATGCTTTGCTCCATGCCATGACATCACATCCTGTTGGTATAGCCTTGCCACAATGAATCAACAACGTTCAAGCATGCCCCGCCTCATGCCGACACCTGCCACCCACACGAGGATGCCGTAGTCCATGTCGATGACACCTTCCTCTCCGCGTGCTCACGTGTTTGGATGTCGTGGGTCATGTTCCGACGAGGGGGCTGGCACTGACAGAGCGGAATGACAACCAAAATCAGGTGGCGAGTCCATGCATCATGGCGTGCAGAGTGTAGACTCTCGGTGCCCGAAGATCTTTCACGTCGTGCCTTGGTCTTCAAGTGGACCTTCTCCGGCTCCACCTCTTTGACCATGGCATTCCTGAGATGACCAAAGCTGGTTTTCTTGTCAATGCTCGAAGGCTTGCAGCTCTGGACACGAAGAACAACAGGGATGCCAAATGGCAGTGGCAGGGCCTCACCGCTATTCAAACGTTTGCCTCCAAGGTTCAACTTCACGTCCACGCCCTGGATCACGACAGCATAGAGACAGAGAGAGAGAGAGAGAGAGAAAGAAAGAGCGAGATAGATAGATAAATAGAAGAAGCTTCACGAAGGTCCTGCCTACTTACTTTTCGTCTCTCTGTCTATCTCCGCCGGTCCCAGCTCCAAAAGCCCACCCTTGTCGTTGGTACTGGGGGGGGGGGGTGATTATTGGTTCCACTGAAATGTGGAGAGATCCTGACCTGCAAAGCGCAGGTCAAGGAGTTCAGGAAGGCTGCAACCATTCAACCGACAACTGCGGTACCACATTCAGTAGCACTAGCCAGCGACAATGGAGCGGTACAAACCAAGGCACTCGCTCTCTGTCCCTTCCTTCCTTCCTTCCTTCCTTCCTTCCTTCCTCCCCCGAGGAATGAGTGCGAACTGGTCGGACGTGCCTTAGGCGCCCCCCCTCCAACGGAGACATTGGGTCCCGTAGCGAAGGAGTCGGTCTGCTAGGCGGTCGCTCAACCCGATGCTTGCGCATTCCGGTCCTCGTCCCCGCGCATCCCGCGCCCTCTATGGCACTGTCCTTATCCCCTGTGACAGCCAGCTCCCGCGT